TGTAAGTGTGAGGATGTTGTCTAAAATGCCCAGTGACTCAAGTCTTCTGGAGGATTAGGTTTTCTAAACAACTGCTGAGTTTACTTTTGGTTAAGTCCAGTGGCCTGGCCCATGAGATATACGAAACTCTTGACACAGCTCACAACCGTGGCAAACTCTCAGAATCCAATCAGTAAATAAACTCCACTGTCATTTAAGGAGAGAACTACTACCTTTGCTATTTACCCTTCACAGTGAAATAGTAAATGATACTGTGGGAACACTGAAGCATGTCAGTGAACAGACCATCAGCAGAAGAATAGCTTGCTCTTCCAAGACTCCTCTGCCCTCTAAGATTGGAATTTGGGGAGTTTGCATTCAAATGATTTCTTTTTTCCTCAGTAATGACAATGCTCAGTACCACATAAGAAATGAAATTGAAGCATTGATCTTATTTTTCAAACATAGGATAGCTTCCAATATTAAAATTAACATATAAATTTAGCATCCATCTTATTTTCGGCTCACTTCTGCTGAGTAAATGCACTTATAAAGAATGAATCACTGAAACAGTACGCAGTGAAATCAGGTTCATTTCTCAAATACGTCAGTTCAAATGCAGTCAGTGCCTGTTTTCCGGGCGCCCGACAAATGCTCCCAGGTTGTGCCCCCTTCCCACCACCCCCTGCCAATCCAGCCACAGGACAAGCTGGGAATTTCAGAGGATGGGTCCTACGGAGCAATCCCCATGCTTGTGACTGCCGCCTGCTAACCCTTTCTCCAGCTCTACTTCTGCTTATGAGCTCTGACTGTCCTTGGGTTCCTAGAAGCCTGCCAGTGAGCCATAACAGCTGCCATTCCAGGGCTTTGGAATCATGGCCCCTTTGCCCAGGGAACTGTCGCCTCTCCAGGTTACTCTATACACTATCAACTTAAACTGTAGCTATTACCTGGCTAAAAATGCCTGGCTTCGCAACTCACCCATGAAACTACTTTTGCTTTCCCATCATCAAAAGTATTGACCTTTCACAAGAAGATACCACCTGTTAGAATGGGTCTTATCAACAAGAACAGAGATAACAGGTGGTGGGCAGGATGTGGAGAATAGGGGTCCTGCAGTTGGTGGGAAGGGAAGTCAGCATAGCACGATGGGCCAGGATGGAGGTCCCTTTAAACATTTAAAAAAGGATATATGATACAGCAATATCCCTTCTGGGAATATGTAGGAAATCACAATTTCGAAGAGACAGTTGTACCCTCATGTACACTGTGACATTATTCACAATAGCCACAACATGGATATAATCTATGTGTCCATCAACAAATTAAAAAGCCTGTTCTGCACTAAATGAAATAAGCCAGTCACAAAAAGACAAGTACTATAGAATATCACTTATGTGAAATCTAAAAGAGCCAAACTCCTAGAAAAAGAGAGTAAAATCATGGTCACCAGGGGTTGGGGGTGGGGACATGGGAGGTGCTAGTCACAGGACCAAACCTTCATCTCTCAGATGAAGATGTTCTGGGATCTAATATACAACATGGTGAGTATAATTAGCACACTGTGTTGCATACTGAAAAGTTGCTAAGAGCAATTTTTCCACGTTCTCACCACATACACACACACCAGTAACTGTGTGAGGTGTGGTGTGTTATCTAACCCTACTCTGGCCATCATTTCACAATATACACAAGCATCAAACCATTGCATTGCACATCTTGAGTTTACACAATGTTCTATGTCAATTATATTTTAATAAATCTGGGGTGAGAGAAGAGTGCTGCTATTTCCTAAGAGGCAAAACTCTAGGGCAAAACCCATTTCCAGATGTCACTAGTAAACCAGAATCATGAAATTGAATGAGGAGCCTCCTGAAAGATATGCTGAAGTTTGAGTGCTTCTCCTTGGGGGAAAAGATGGTACATTATGACCCTCCACCAGCCAGAAGTTTCTAGAAACAGGCATTTCTGACCCAAAATGTGTATTCAATCTCATCACTGACATATGCCAACATCACTGAGTGAGATCTGGTGCATGTACTAATGCTGCTTACATGTGAAGGTTAATTTTGCCATAGAAAAGTGGATAGGAAGGGAGGGAGAACCCAAAGATATGTTGAAGAGGGGGTGGGGTCCCAAATCTTAATGTGTTTAAAAATTAATTGAGGAGGAGGATCAAAATGCAGGTGCTTCAGTTACCAGTGATTCTGAACACCAGTGACACCTAAGATTCTAAACTAGAAATTAAGCATCAGGGAGCATCAGCATCAGGGACCTTAGAGACAAACAGTGTAGAATTCATGCCTAACCCAACCACACTCACATCTTAGAGAAAGAAAGTGTTGCTCTAAGAGTGGAAGTCGTCAGGTCCTACAAGAGGGGACAAAAGCTTCTGCTGTTTGAGGTGAACTGACTTTGTAGAAGGCTAGCCTGACTTACAGGCCAAACTGGGGTTCATAAAGCCTAGATGAGTTCTGAGTGCCCAGATGTTTTGTCTGTGTGACAAATGGGGCTCAACTCTAAGGAGTGTGTTGATTTTTGCTATCCTCTTTACCTCCAGATGTTCAGTTTCCTAGAAAAAGAGTAATTGAGCGTTCATGGGCAGATGAGTGTTCATATCCCTTGACTAGAATATCAAACTCTCTGTATTCTACTACAAGCTTTGAGAGCCTAGCTGGAACTAAAGAGGCTTTGCTGCTTGAGTCACAGGGGCTTCTGCCCTCAGGACTGCAGAGGAAGCACAGGGGCCTAATGGAAGCACAGGGATCTTAACACTCAATTTCCCCTCTGCCTCACCACCCACAAGCAGTCACCCCCCCCCCCAAAGAAAATACGTCTGGCTTTAGAAATTTATATGGAGGATCACACATACCTGCACAGATAATTCCATTTTGTGAGCTACTGCAAAAAGAAGCAAATGACACTGATGATCTCTGATGCAAAAAGCAAGCTGAGTTTAGTTCAATCCAGTCCTTCAACCTGGAGAAGTAAAGGCTGAAAACTGACTTGGTAGCATCAGGGCCTCACATGGGCTGTCACCTTGTCAAGGAAATGTAGATAAGCTTTTGAGATGAAAACACTTTGAAGATATATTTGTCCCAGGTGTGTCCAGCCTCAGCCCATCACATTACACAAACATAAAATGTACTGCACATGTGCCTTTAGAATCAGGGGACAGATTAATTCTCTTCCCATTCCCTCACTTTCTTCCTTTCTGTAAACAGTAGTATTTACAGCTAACCAAACAAGTCTTATTTATTTTCGAACACTGCAATGTCCTTATGTCAGCTAAATATACACTAGGCTGACTAATACAATGATTTTTTTTCCCCCCTCAAAGAATTCTCATTCCAAAAGTGTCCAGCAGAAATAAGTATGAGAAGGTTCTTGTGTTTTAGTTTCTCTTTTTCTCCAGGGACCCACACAGGGGTGAGGAGCAGCTGATATTAGCTCCTGGTCTCCAGGAGTTCAGGGAACACATCAGGCCAAAGCATTTGCCCTTTCCTCTCCTCTCCTGAGGAAACTTTCAAGACTTCTTGCACTGGGAGTTCTCTCTGCATCCTTGACAAATAGAAGCTTTATTTGTTTGCTTATTACTTTCCTTTCCACTTTCATGGTCTCTTATCTGATCTAAGCAGTAACCATCCGAGCACCTTGAAGAGTAAAAATGGTAAGAGAATTGGTTGGTATGGATACCATTGAATATTGTTTTGAAAATTCATTTTTAAAAATATCTGAATGAGAGTTTGTCAAATACAGAACTCCATGTGTGCTTTTAAAGTAAAGTGGGAAAGCCCTGCTTTTCAATGTTTTGTTGTGGTGTCATCCAACAACCAGAGTGGCATCTTCTCCAAGTAAGAACAAGGAAATTCATACCTATATGCTCAACACAAAACTACTGAAACTAATCAATAGCAGCCATTTATTGGGGGTTTCCCCTGCATCAGGGACCATGCTAAGGAAGCGTTGCATGTCCTTACACAGTCAGTAACTTGTCTGTAGGGTTTCATTTTTACTAATTTGAGTGTCCATTATAATCTCTTTATCTTCGACTCATGGACCAGTAACGTGGACAATAACATACAAAGAGCATTTTCTTACACATGGTAAGCACTCTGATATCTATTGAAGAAATGAATGAGTAAAGAGAGAGAGGGTGAATTAACTCTATTCCTACGCAACTGATTCTCCTTCTTTCCAAAGGCAGTCCCCAAAACTTTTCAAATCATATTTCTCAAGGGATGTCTCATTAACTGATACCTTGATTCCAGGCCCATGCATTAGTAGGCAGCTTTCACTTCAAGTTTCTGTTTTTAGAGAGCCTCTTTTCACCAGTAGAAATGACATAAACCAAGATCATCTCCTTAGTTTATTTTTTTTTCTAGAGTCCTTAGCATGCTACATTAACCTGACAAAGCTTAATCGTGTGTTCATTTCACAATACATTTCATGCAGTTCACAGCTGTGATTGGTTTTACATTGACATTACACATGTTTCAATTCAGCCATGTGAAAAGAATAATTCTTAATGGAGTTTGTCTCTGAAAACTGTCCAAGCTTAAAAAAAGCATGTGAGCAGTTCACTCTAGTCTTAAGTGCAGTCTCTCTTTAAAATGGGAGGGATTTTAGCATAGGAAATAGTGTCCAGTTTGTAGTCCATTCGCAAGTGAACCCCTCCTTTAGGTTTCACATATCCTGAGGAATCCTCTTTTACAAAATTGCATTCAAGTATACTATTTTATTGAACATTCCAGATTCCATTTAGGGACAAGGCTGACCTTCAGCCTTACATCCCAAATAAATCTTCAGAGGACCCCGCTTTCCCAAGACTATTCTTAGCATTAGACTCTCTTTTACAATAAACATTCAGCACTAAAGCCACAGAGTAGAGCTATTTGGCATTTTCCAGTGAAGTGCAAGAAATTAAATAAGTTATGTTTTTTATTGCTAATGGATAGAATCAAGCACAGTCACTTTGTCAAACAGAAGGAAAGGGTATACACAGATTGTGGCCGCTCAGAATGGGGAGGGGACTTCCCCAGCGTTCAAATGCACAAAAAAAGTCACCTGGTCTCTCCGCATCTGCCACCACTTTAAGATGAAGTGTTGAGTATTCTAGAGTCTGCGGAATCAGACCGCTCGTCATAGTCATCCTCGGTGTAAATGGACTGCTTTGACACAATTGGACACCCATCCTCAGGGATAGAGATGCGAGGGTCTTCCGGGGCGCGAGAGGGGAGGACAGGCGAGCTTCTGAAGACGCTGGTAGAGTTACTGGGGAAAGGACTGACATATTGGGACCTCAGCTGGTACTGCTGCTGCAGAGTCATGGTGTTCCAGAGGGTGACATCGTTGGGCAAAAAGGGACTCGACTGGTTTCTCGCCAAAGTATTCCTCAGCATCAGAGGGTACCGGGGTGGCTGGGGGAAAGGGTGCTGCAGGGGTACCGCCAAGGGGTTGGGGACAACGTTACTGGAGTCCGTGGAAAACCTCAATGTGTCTGGGACTCTGAAGGCCGACCCCACGGACCATTTGGAAGAGGAGATGGGGTAGGAGCTCAAGGTGTGTTCAAAGATGTGCCCATTTGGGGGCAATACAAGGCTCTCGGGTTCTGAAGTTCGGTCCGTAGCCGAGACTGAGGACCGGCTGGAGAGCAGGACCTCCACGGCACTCACCAGGTCCCCCCCACAGCCCTTCAAGATCAGCTCCAACACCGTGGGCTTCTGGTTGGGGAATATTTTTTTTAACACTTCCAGTGGTGGTCTGTTGGCTTTCAAGCTGAACGGGAGAGAAACGGTCCCCGATGGGCCCTCGATCAGGAGGTGATTCTGTTCCCCGTGGTACTTGGGGCTCTCCGGACGGCCCTCTGAGCTGCCGCCATTTTTCTGGACGGCATAGCCGCCTTCGTCCACAGATACTATCTCGGGGCTCTCGGGAGTGAAGCAGCTCTTACTTTTTGCCATATCTGGTGAGCTCCTCTGATCTGTGTCCTTGTCACTGAAGCTCTCGGTGTTGTCTGTGGTGCTGCTATCCCCAAGTCGTTCTTCACTCAAATCTGAAAAGTAGAGAACAGCTGGTCAGGCCTTTCCCTGTGTGCATAAAAAGGAACAGGTCTGAGCAGGACAGAGCACGAAGGGGAAAGGCACCTTAAAAGGCAAATGGGGGCCCTCCCTGGTGGCACAGCAGGTTAAAGCACAGCACTGAGACTCTAAAGCCGCTTCAGCATGAGTTTGATTTCCGCCTGCGTTTGATTCCCGCCTGCCCAGGAGGTGACCACATGGCGCGGCAGACCTCTCCTGACTCGCCCGCTGCTCCCCTCAGCAGTGTACTTCGTAGATCTGCCTGTTCTGCTCCCCACTCTGTCTCTGGTGAAGCCTCTCACCACCCCTGAGCCTCTGGCCTGTACCCCAATTCTGCATGCACAAATAAATAAATCTTAAAAAAAAAAAGGCAGGGCCCTCCCTGGTGGTGCAGCGGGTTAAAGCACAGCACTGAGACTCTAAAGCCGCTTCAGCATGAGTTCGACTCCCACCTGCCCCGGAGGTGACCACATGGTGTGGCAGACCTCTCCTGACCCGCCCGCTGCTCCCCTCAGCAGTGTACTTTGTTGATCTGCCTGTTCTGCTCCCCACTCTGTCTCTGGTGAAGCCTCTCACCCTCCGCATCTCTGGCCTGTACCCCAGTTCTGTATGCATAAATAAATAAATCTTTAAAAAAAAAGGCAAATGGGTCTTGGTAGGTTATAATATACTACAGTATATACTGCTTCAAAAAAAATCCAAACGATGTCACTGGCAAATGCAAAAAAAAAAAATCTGTAAATAGAGATCTAGAAACTGGAATGACAGCTCAGAAGAGTGTGTGTGGGAAGCTAGCCTTAACACAGAAAGGCTACACTCTTATCTCCAAGCACTGAAGATGTCGCAGTAAGGCTGCATGGAGGCCCTCTAGGGACTTGGAAAAACACAGTGCAGGAAAAAAAAAAAACATGGAAAATGAGCTCAGACTTGTCTTTCAGCATCTATTCTGTAAACCAGATGCCAAGGTGTAATCCAGGGAGGGACACCATCAGCTGGTGCATGACCCATAAACCCACAGGGAATTTTAGTATTTTAAATCTGTCTTCCCATAGGCTGATTGTGTGCTAAATAAGTCATGTGAACTAGTCATCAGTATGTTTCATCAGGGTACTGGGGAAGATAACATGGCAAGATTATTGCCAAAGCAAAAGAAAGCAGTCTCTTTAAAGGCCACTGAAGGGGCTACTAGATTTGGTAGCCCCTGATTTACATTAGAGGGCTAGCAAAACCAACTGTGAATTCTTGACGGTGGAGGAGCTGTGGAGAGGAAGAAGGAAATCGCTGGAGGAGTTTGAACCCACACAGGGAGCAGGACCCACCAAGGAAACAATGCATCTAGAACTCTGAATTATGGGGAAGGGGTGTAGACAAGAAGTAGATATGGTTTTATGCATGGTTTTAATGCTAAAATACATGGAAAAAATTAAAGATAACTTCTTTAAAAAAAGAATTAAAGAAAACTTCTTTAAAGAATTAAAAGAAGAGAAGGAGAAAAAAGGCTTCTAATAAAGCAGATTTGCTGTGAAGTAAATCAGCCGCAAAATTTAACATTTTAACCTAAGACATCACCCCCTCAAAAGGGTGTATAGTGCTTAAACAGGTAGAAAGGAGGTAAGACCGGTTTTGCTTGCAATAGTAAATTCTAAAAGACCTTTATAATAAAGGAACATATTCTTTATTAACAAGTTATATGAAAGTAGATTTTTATCTTTTTAAAAACACGTACTGGCTTTGCCTACTCAGAGCCAAAGTAACTGATCTAAAGATGAAAATTATTAATGACCCAGTTGTCAGGTTGTAAACAATCGGTTCGCCTGTGTTTTCTGCTGCCTAGCCTGAATAGCCTCATTGTCGCCTTCTGTGCGGGCGCACCTGAGTATGTGCAGATAGTCCACGGTGAAATTTCATCAAAGCAGCTTCCAAAACCCACCTCCTCCTATTTGTTGTTGTTTATCTTAAAAACCTTAAACAAAGGCCCATTTGTGAACTATAATTGAAAGACAAAACTGTTTCTTCACAAGGCATTAAACCCATGCTGGGCTTTTTAAACTATTCTTTAAACGATAAGCCTTTTAAAAATAAGTACAACTTTCCATAATAAACCTGAAGCAAATTCATACTTATCCTTAAAAATGCATTTTAAGTAAACACTTTTTTTTTCTGATACAAAATAGCAAGCGTTGGAGGGGGGGTGGCTTTCTTTGCATCCCCCATATTTTAAAGCATATTTACTTTTTTAAAAGAGGAACCACAGCCCCATTTTTGTAAAAGGGATTTGACATATTTTCTCTGACATCTTCCTGAGACTGGGGACCAAACTTTCACCTCCTTAGTGTGGTATTTGTCCATGATCCAAAAGAAAAAAATAATAATGAAAAAAAAATCTTCTATGCTTCTATGGATTCCCACTCACTAATCAGCTAGACCTATCTAAAATTTCCTGACTTGTGATCCTCCACATTCCTCGTGGCTGTTCCTCTATTAATAAAACCTGGAACAGTGAGTGAACAGTGACAGTGTGTTAACTCAGCACTGAATTGAACACCAATTGGATTTTGGCCTCTGCTCAATGGAGCTTAGGTAAAAAGTCAATACTCTTCCAAGCAAATATGGACATCAAATAATGTTTTAAACACTATGTACCTCTAAATAGCTTTCCTATTTAACTTTAGCTTTCACTCTCCATTATTATCAACATGAAGTATTTGTACCCCCAACATGTGCAAGATACTGAATGGACCTAATAAGTGAAGAAAATCAGTAAGACATATAAGACTTGGCCCTAAATTGTAGAATTTATTATCTTGTTGGGGAGATTGGGGGAGGGGGTACAGGTGAAAGCAAACACTGCCAGAAAGAATTTCCCATGTATTTAGCACACGTTGGGATACACTATCTTTATAGTAGTATTATTCACAATGGCAAAGAGGTGGAAAAAAACCCGAGTCCATCAACAAATGAATGGCAAAGCCAAACGTGGCCCATACACTCAATAAAATATTATTCAGTCTCCAAAAAGGAATAAAATTCTTATATAGGCTAAAATATGGACGAATATTTAAAACATGCTTAGTAAAATAAGTCAGTTATAAAAGGATCACATTGACATGATTCCATTATATGAGGTACATAGAATAAACATATTCAGAGAGACAAAATCTAAACTGACATTTACTAACATATGGGGAAATAGGGAATAGGGAGTTGTTATTCATTGGGTACAGAATTTCAGTTTGGGATGAGAAAAATGTTCTGGAAATGGTTGGTGCTTAAGGGTTGTACAACAATGTGATTGTACTTGGTGCCACCAAATTGTATTCCCCAAAATGTCAAAATAGTACATTTTACCTTATGTATATTTTTGCACATTTAAAAAAAAGGAAGAAATGTGACATGTGGTATAACCCAATAAAAAGCATTGTGAGTTTTTCTTAAGTAGGAGAAACAGGTAAGGACTGCTAAAAAGTACAAAACAGCTTTTTTTTTTAAAAGATGTATAAACCTAAAAATAGCTTCCTATTTTAAAAGATAAATTTTCCTCACCTTGAATGAGTTTCAACACTGAAAACATTTAAGGACCATTTCAAGGTCTGTCTTCCATAGAACATATCAGCATCCACAAGAAAGTGAGTCAAAGAGTAGAAGCTAGCCAAAGGAAAACTAGGGAATCGTGTTCTGATGAATCTGACATACCTGTCATTATGAAAAGGTAGTATTTCCCCCCCAATATGGTAATGGCAAAGAATACTCTGACCCCATTAACTGGATATTGGGTAGCAGCATTATACATCTCACAATACAAAATTCTACTTGTCTCTCTCCTCCTGTTCTGCCTAACAGACCACAGTAGGATCAGATATGAGTGCCAATTTGTTCACCAATTGGGAAGCCCCAGACTGCAAAAGCCTTGTGCTGCTGCTGTGACATGCCCAGGGCAGCAGGTGCTTCCGGTTACTTCTCAAAGAGTGGTGCTGGCTGTGCCATTCCATCCATACCCTCTCTGCGCTTCCTAGGATCCTTGGCCAGGCTATGCCCAAGGCATGAGAATAGCTAACAGGATATCACAGGAAGCAAATCTACAAGTTCAGGGTATTCCAACCCACTGGGATGAGCACTGTTCACACTGTGTTCAAAGGAACAGGAGATTTTGAGATGCAATGAGAGAGACACAGCAACCTGCTCTTGCACTAAGCGCCATAGTAAGTTCTGCTTAGAGTTACTGAGCAGCAGAATCAACCAACACGTGGAGCATCCCATGTGGGTCAAGGAAGACTAACCTCTCACCTTGAACCAAGAAGAGCTCCCACCCAGTGATTTCTGAAGAGCAGAATATGCAATCCCTGCAATTTTGTGTGTCTATCATGTCCAGTATAAATAGTATTATTGTACTTAAACTAGACGTAAATTATTCCATGGTAAGTACAGACTTTCAGAAGTAATTACAGAGGGTAAGTTTGGTGCCCAATGATAAACTGTAATTCAACAACAGGTGTTTCTTTACATCTTGAGATTTTTTTCCTAAATGAACTTTATAAATTGCTTGTGTTGGTTTAAAACACAAAAGCCTTTCTAGATACAGAAATGTGGAACTGCCAGCTAACAAATGAAAAAGGAAATACTCTCCAACCATGTTACCCTATTTCTTTTTGAAATGGACACCCTAATTCCTAAAACATAAAGAGTGAGACTGTATTTTAACTGATAAATTTTTACCCCTAGTATCTGGGTATAGAAAAATCAAAACTACTAGACAAAAATAGAAAGATATCAATTTCATCTAATATTACAAACCAGTTATTGAAAGTGATACAGTTTGCTGTTTCTAATGACTAAAACATCTAGATATTTTTAAAATCTTGCTAAATGTTTACACTTCAATTTCATGTTTTCATGATTTAAAAACACCCACAGCATACCCATTCCCCCCCAAAAGACTTCATTAGTATAAAAGTCTGTAGAAGAAGTGTTCGGCTAAGAAGGAAATGTTTCCCTATGAGTAACAATGCAACCTATTTCAAA